CATTTACCTCCCTACACACACACACACACACACACACACACACACACACACACACACACACACAAGGCTCAGGGAAGGGAGGGTAGTCAGACTGTAAGACACAGAGATGGGAGACCCTGTCTACATCCTCTTTGGGTTTAGTCTTGTTAGTGAAAAGAATCTAAAAACATATTCAGAAGGAAGCTTGAGGACATTTCTTTTTCTTAGTGTTTAAGAGAAAACCAGCAGGTTAGGCAAGCTGTAAGTTTTGGCAGCGGCCTGGAGGAAAGACGTGGAAAGGGGGAAGCAGTCACGTGGTGAGGGGCGCAGAGCTGCCGAGTGAGGGAGCATGCCCAGGGAGGAAAGAGGCGGGCAGGCTCCTCGTCACCTGGATATGACAAAGCTGGGGCGCTCCCGAACTCGGGGAGGCTCCGCTGGCCTACATCAGAGGAAGCCAGCCAGCCAGCAGTCCAGTATGGACAGGGGAGGCGCTCTAGAGGCCCCATCGGGAACTGAGGAGCTGCTGGCAGCAGTGTCCGCCAGGGAGACAGGGTGACTTTCATCATGGGCGTGGCCCTAGGTAGGTTGCCCATGCCCCCTGGATGTCCCTACGCCCACGTGCAGATGGGCGACATGAACTGGAATCAATGGGTTGCTCTTTAAACAGATTTTAGGGGGAGGCACGGAGCTGGGAGGGGGGGACAGAGTGGTGAAGCCCACATCCGGAATGAGTTGGGGGAGGAGTCGGAGTGGGCAGGGTCAAAACACACAGCGCACATGTGTGAAACTCTCAAAGCACAAACAGTTTAGAGAGACTCAGCATTTGTAATACAGAAAGAAAATTGAGCAGACACAGAGGAGCAGCAGTGGTTAGTTTTGAGGCTATAAATAACTTTAGTTTTGTCACACACTTCTCCAGAAATGCTAAGTAGGAAAATACTACCTTCATTATGGAGTAAATTAGCAATTCTTTTCAAAAACAGTCAAAAATGTGTGTGTGTGAGTGTGTGTGTGTGGCATGTGTGTGAGTGTGTGTGTGGCATGTGAGTGTGTGTGTAGCATGTGTGTGTGCATATGTATGTAGCGTGTGTGTGGCATGTGTGTGTATGTGTGTGGCATGTGTGAGAGTGTGAGTGTGTGAGAGTGTGAGTGAGTGTGTGAGTGTGTATGAGTCTGTGTGAGTGTGTGTGGTAATACAGCACTTGCCTAAGCATGCTTGAGGCCCTGTGTTCCATCCTTGGCACCGGAGGGAAAGGGGCAGGGGTGACTGACTCGGCAGAGGCTCCCGGATTCTCTCTCCCTTACCTGTCCCTTCTCCTTGTTGTGCTTCTCGTTGAGAACTTGCAATTGATCTGACCGCTTGCTTTCCTGGAGAGAGAGCACAAGTGATCTGTCTACAGCAGCGACACAGACGCCTACTCCACGGGGGAGCTGGCTTTCCCCTGGGTACCTGTGAAACCCAACAGCCTCGTAAAATTGCAGCTGGCATTTTTAGAGTCCATGTGGCCGCAGTGTTTAAACCCTTGTGTCCCTGGGTCGGCAGATGTTTGTATGACAGAGTAGTCAGTATTTCGGGCTAGGAAGTGGAGCCCGGGCAGTCTGTCAGGACTATGGGTGTGAGGATGTCCCAGTGAGGGTGACTGCAGCTGTGATGAAACACCACGCCCAAACCCTTGGGCAGGAGAGGGTTTACTTGGCTTACACGCCCACCTCATGGCTCACCACAATTCATTGTCAAAGGCAGACGGGAGCGGCCCTCTAACAGGGCAGGAACTGGAGGCGGGAGCTGATGCAGACACCATGGAGGGGGGCTGCTTACTGGTTTGCTCCCCATGGCTTCCTCTCCTTGCTTTCTTATAGCACCCAGGACCACCAGCCCAGGGATGGCTCCACCCACAATGAGCTGGGCCCTCCCCCATTGGTCACTAATTGAGAAAATGCCCCACAGGGTTGCCTACAGCTTTTTTGAGGTTCTCTCCTCTCCAGTGACTGGGGCAGGAAACAGGGGACAAAGAACTAAGGTTTCTGGGTCTGAGGGTTCTAAACAGGCGACTCCGTTCATGGGAGACACTAGAGACAGTGGAAGTCAGTGCCAAAAGTATGAGCCAACTTGTAGGTTTCTACTCATGCCAGGCACCTGGCTGAGCAACCAGTGGCAGCTTGGACGTCTGCTCTGTACGGGAAAGGGGTGGACGTCATTCCGGCTGAACGTGCATTAACCAAGTTCTGACCAAGCAAACGGTATAGGGTAGAGGAGGGTTGGAAAAACCTTTTGGAGGTGTTGTTCCAGGAATCCTGGGAATAAGCGCCAGGCAGACAACAGAAGGGTCCCCGCCAGCGGCGGCAGAAGCAGCAGGGCCACGGTAGGGGGAACAAGGGGGCCCGTGGTTTAGAGCAGTGGTCCTCGGCCTTCCGAATGCCGCTGCAACCCTCTCACACAGTTCCCTGTTTTGTGAGCCTCAACCACACAACTGTTTTAGTTGCTGCTTTGTAGCTGTGATTTTGCTGCTGCTGTGAATCATCATGTAACTATCTGATATCCTGGCGGTCTTGGGCGACCCCCGCAAAAGGGTCGTTCGTAACCAAAGGGTTTGCAACCCAGGTTGAGAAAGAACTGCTTTCTAGAAAGAGAGCACTGGAGCAGAAGGAACACCCTCATTGTAAACGACCATCTGGGGGGAAACGAGGTCTTGTTGCTAGCTGAGAAGTCTGGGAGTGCATGCGTGTAGGGGAGGCGGGGGAGGGGTCACTGAAATAAAGGTGGGCAATGACACGAGCAGCCAGAAGTCATGGAGAAAGCACAATTGGGGGGGGCAGGCAAGATGCAGCGTTAAGACAAGAAGCAGCAATCATGCTTCCAAATGCCATTACTATTTAAAAATGTCACAGGTCTATTTTTATTAAAGTTACATTATAGGTACTATGTATGGGCATGATTGCATCTGCATGTGTGCACATGTAAGGTCAGGCGTTGACACGGCACTCATGTGGGGGTCTGAAGACGACCTGCGGGTTTTCCTTCCATCACGTGCGTCCCCGGGGGTCGGAACCCGGGTCATGATGCTTGGTGGTAAGGAGCTTTTACAATGTGAGCAATCACAGGGACTCTGAGGCCTTTAAACTTATTATTATTGGCAGGTTATCATCTACCCCCTCAACGCAGAGTGGAGAGTGAACATGAGGTCTCACACAGAGCTATACTGCCAACCTGTATCCTTAGCCATTTTGACTTTTTATTGGTTTTTTTTGTTTGTTTGTTTCTTGAGACAGGGTTTCTCTGTATTGTTTTGGAGGCTGTCCTGGAACTCCCTCTGTAGACCAGGCTGGCCTCAGACTCACAGAGATCCACCTGCCTCTGCCTCCCGAGTGCTGGGATTAAAGGCGTGCGCCATTGTTTTCCATGAACCACTGTGATAAAATAACTTTTATAGGGTGACTATGGAGTCTGACTTCCAAATGAGAATAAAACATATAAAGGATATCAGTTTGTCCAGTGTAGTGCTGGGTGTAAACTAAGAGGTTTGATGCTTCGATAGGCATTTGTAGAAAGTGAGATCTACATCTGAAATAGGAAGAAGAGTTAGCAATAATGCAAATGGCCTAAGGACACTAGTTTAGACTGACATTCTGTTAGTGAAACCTGAAAGCTTTAACTATTTTATATCCACACCTATGAATCAACACCTATTATGAATCAGACATATGTCGAGAGACAGGGGAAAAAGAACCGAAGCAAAACACATCTGGTGTGAATCGACTCCAAATTAAGAAAAAAAAACCAAGGGTTAAGAGTGTCAGCTGCTCCAGCAGGGGACCTGGGTTCAGGAAACCCTGCATGCACTGAAAACACCTGCAACTCCAGCTCTGTGGGATGCAGCACCCTCCTTCTGGCCGGTGTGGACGCTGTGAGTGTGTCACACACTGACCACATAACCTCACGCAGATGCACACACAAACAATGAAATACGCATTATAAACCGTGGCGCTGGTCATCACCCCGTCATACCTGGCTGCTGATGAGCTGCAAGGTGTTCTGGAGATCCTGGGGATGTGCGGAGTGGTCTTCTTTCAACTCGCTGACGTCCCTTAGGGTCCCTATGTTGGACTTGATCTGCATGCTGGACTTCTGTATCTCTAACAATTGCTATAAATGAGGGAAAAAAGAAAATCACCAGCAGAAATGGTGGACATTTATCTAACTGAAAGAAAAGGAAAACTAAGCTTTAAAAAATGATTCCCTATTGGGGGGCAGAGCACGCCACAGCGTTTGTGGGGTCTTCAGAGGAGGACTGTGTGGTCAGGCTCTCTCTGTCTACTTGTGTGTGGATTTGGCGGCTGAATTTGCACCTGCAAGTTTTACACAGCAAGGACTCTACTTGCTGAGCTGGCTCTCTGGCCCCAAGTCAACTTTTTGGCCTTTGACAATGGGTGTTTAAATTTTTAACAGGAGCGCAGCATTTGTGAGAGGAAGTGGGTATGTGTGCCCTTTCTGTCTGTCTGTCTGTCTGTCTGTCTGTCTGTCTGTCTGTTTGGAGGCAGATCTTGCTATGCTGCCCAAGCTGGTCTTGAACTCTGGCTGGCCCATCTCAGCCTCCTGAGTGCTGGATGACTGGGGTATATTGTCATGCCCTGTGACAGCTGATTCTATAACGTAATATAACATAACGGATATACGTTATATCTTAATATAAGATAACGTAATGGAAGGCCAACACTCTCCAGGGGCCACACCAATAAATCCACTAGGAGCATAGATGTTTTAACTATCCAGAAGTTAACTACAGAAAGAAAGTAAGAAAGAAAAAAAAAACCCAGACAGCAACAGACAATAAAGGTAACATGGAAAACAGGAGGGTAGGGTTGCCCAACTCACTGCGGGCTCCCAGCAGCCACTCCAGGGCAAGGTAGCTTTTCGGCAGAGACTGTGTGTTCCCACCACCGCCACCAGGACTGCTAAGGCCAGAGTGAAAACCACCGTAGGCCATCAAGACCTCGTGTGCACCAGGTGTGGCGGGAGGAAGTGAGTGACACCTTGTCCGTAAGACCCTGCCCGCATAAACTCAGACTAATCAGGATGAACCCTCAGCAGGGATCCGATGCAAAGGACCCACGCTTCTCTAAATCGTTAGGCTCATCAACAACAAGAGGGGAAACGCTAAGACAGACAAGAGACAGCCTAAGGAGACACGTGACTAACTCAAACACGGACGGGAAGCTGAGCAGGAAAGAAAATGAGAGGATTTGGACCTTGGTCCACAGTAGCCATTAGTTTTGTTTCTAAAACTTGTCGGCCCCTAGAGGGAGCCCAAGGATCGCCCTCGGCTCCCTCTTTCTTCCTTTTCCCTGGGAGCTTTCGGATCAAAAGGAACCTGACTGACAGGCTGTGAAGATGAAGGTCCCAAGTCCAGTGAGTGTGCTATCACACACATCTACGGACCACAGCTGTTCCCAACTGGCACAGAGCCCACTCGCCATACCCTGTCCTCCTCACAGGACTCCCGTCCTCCTCCTCCTCCTCCTCCTCCTCCTCCTCCTCCTCCTCCTCCTCCTCCTCCTCCTCCTCCTCCTCCTCCCCCTCCTCCTCCTCCTACCTGGGTGCATCTGTGTCAGCCTTTCCATCCACAACTTGGAGCATTCGAGAATTTTAGAGGGGCTGGAGAGATGGCTCAGTGGTTAAGAACACTGGTTGTTCCTCTAGAGATCTTGAGTTCAACTCCCAGCACCCACATGGCAGCTCACAACTGCCTGTAACTCCAGTTCCAGGAGGTCTGACTCCCTCACACAGACATGCATGAAGGCAAAACACCAGTGCATATAAAATAAAGATAAATTTAAAAAAAAGAATTTGAGAAAGGGTTTGTGGATTAAGGCTATTTAAGCCTAACCACATAAGGAAAGAGCGAATTTCTTCTGGGAGCTGCATGGACGCATCTACCAGTGTTCTGTATGAGAGCCTGTCCAGACCGCCCACTCATAACAAAACAACCCCTCTCTCACCGGCTCTGCCTCCTGTGTGCCTCACGCACCCTGGCAGGAGGGGCTGTGTGTACCAGGCGTGGTGAGGTATCTGATCCTCAGGCCACAAGGCCGCCATGCTAACTAACACTGTCGCAAAGCAAGCAACACTTCGAGAACTTCTGGGGTAAGTACTCACATATTCTAATGCCGAATTCTTGGAAGTTAATTCTTTAAATTCCTTCATGAACATCTCCTTGACCTTCTCCATCTCGTCGAGCAACTTCTCCTCCTCTTCCTCTTTCCATCTATCAAATAACTTCAGAAAGTCGTCTTCTTTTGTCTTCTGCATTTCCTGTTCCTGGGATCATGTTAGTGCGTGTCCGTTAAAGGAAGGAAGCAGATGTGAGAATCTTAAGACAAACCATAGCTTCATCCCAAAGTGTCTAGTGCTTCCTCTTTGGAGTAGACCAGTATAACACTTCCTGAAAGAGTGGGTCTACATTCAGTGATTCTTCCGAATTGAAACATAGCTAGGGGAACAGACGGGCTGGCTCACCGGGTGAGGGCACTTGGTGCCACGCCCGACAACCTGAATTCGACCCCAGGACTCACAAGGTGGAAAGAGCCAACTCTAGCAGCTGTACTCTGACTTCCACGTATGTCCACCCACACAGGTATACTCAATAAATAAATGTAAACATAAAAAAAACCCACATTTGTAGCCTGGAGATACGGCTTGGTGGTTAACAGTGCTGGCCGCATAAGGACCTGAGTTCAGATCCCAGGATGGCCACACACAAGCCCATATAACCCCAGTGCTGTGGGAGTGAGACGCAGGAGGACTGCTAAGGCTTGAGGGCATCCAGCCTTGCTCCGGGGTTAGTGAGCAATCCTGACTCAAAGGAATAAGGTCTACGTGCACACACATGCACGCATACACGTTATACACACAACCAAAGGAATAAGGTCTATGTGCACATGCATGCACGCATACACATTATACACACACACCAAAGGAATAAGGTCTACATGCGCATGCACGCACACATACATGTTACACACACACCAAAGGAATAAGGTCTACGTGCGCATGCATGCACGCATACACATTATATATACACACATACCAAAGGAATAAGGTCTACGTGCGCACACATGCATGCATACATGTTACACACACATACCCCAAAGGAATAAGGTCTACGTGCGCATGCACGCACGCATACACATTATACACACCCCCCCCAAAGGAATAAGGTCTACGTGTGCACACATGCACGCATACACGTTATACACACACACCAAAGGAATAAGGTCTATGTGCACATGCATGCACGCATACACATTATACACACACACCCCAAAGGAATAAGGTCTACATGTGCCTGCACTCACGTATAAACGTTACACACACACACACACACACACACACACACCCCAAAGCCAGCATCCCTGTTTCCCGGCATCTTTTAAAGCACTAGTGAATGCACCGTCCCCAGCACAGAACCTGTGCCCTACCTTAGAGAACCGGACTGCATGGGCGTACTGGGCAGACTCCAGCTGAGACCTGGTGAGCTGCAGCTGCTCCTTCAACATGTCAACCTCCTTCTGGAGCCTGTCCGTCTGCGCCTTCGTGTTATACTCTGTCGCGGCAGGAAATCTAGTTAGAATCCAGAAAGTCTAGTCTCCTATGCACTGGCCTAAAACCCACAGCTCTATGGATCAGGCAAAAGAAAACTTCTATTATGCCACGAGCCAAGCCCTGTTCTTTAGCGTTAACCTGGAGCCCTCCGTGTGATCAGACATTTCATTCATCTTAGTGGCTTCTTACAGCCCACTCCCTGCACTAAGGTTGAGTATCCTCAGGGACAGCGTGACAGCCCGGTTTCCGGGAGCGGTCCTGGCTGTGACGCCCCACAGGTACTCTGGGCTCTCACACATGTCGGTCCCGCTCAAAGCAGAGAAGCAAAGGGTTAGCCTTCCAGTGCCACAACACCAAAGCCACTCAGTCAACATCGTTTTGCCCCCCCCCCCACGTTCCTCAGGTCCCTCTCACTGGTCACACAGCGGGCTGGGGGACTCAAGACGAAGACTTGGACAGTCATGTGTCAACTAGGGCAAACGCGGAAAAACTGAGAAGGTGACACGGGAGGCAACAAGTGAAGGGGGCGGGGGCGACTTATCATGTCCCTGTACTTACGTGAGGGTGTACACGTGACTGAATGGGTGTACACGTGACTGAATGGGTGTACACGTGACTGAATGGGTGTACGTGTGCTGTGAATGTAGACATGAAAGGTGTGCAAACCAAAGCAGAGAGTCAGAGTCTCAAAGGGGACCTGAAGAAATAATGCTCGTCTCAGAGTCTGAAACGCTCTCCGACGCGAGTATGAGATAGAGTTAGCGACTGGGACAGAGAGACAGAGGTCAGCTTCACACTGAAGCATGGTAGTAGACAGGTCGGTTACAGGCAGTTCAGAGTCCCCCACGCCTCCAGGGGTACCCCTTACTCGGGTCGGCGGCCCATGCTTTGGAGGGAAAATGTTCCGCCGTCTGTTTTGCTTCTGCCCCGAAGCACGATGGGGCTGGAACAGAAACAGACTGGCCCCAGACGAAGGAAACCAGTACATCCCGATGAGAGCACTTCTGTGGGTCGCAGCCTGCCCTGCTGGGGGAGGAGGCCGCACCTTCTTGGGAGCACGTTCACACGATGGGTGAGAAGGCTGACCCCTTGGTAAACGGCGGAGCCCCCGCCCGTTTCTGCGCCTTTATTTCTGCCTCTACGTTCTAGCTACTCCCCATCAGCACCCAAGCACATTAATTCCCAGGGAAGACAACTTCCTCTCATCCCCACGTTTCGGGGGGGGGGTGATATCGAGGGTCTCTTCCTTTCCTCCCCTGCACACACTGCTAACGTACAGACCCGTGTTTGTTAAAAGCATTTCCTCACCGACTGCCAACCCGGTTCACTCAAACGGGCCCATTGTCTTAGCGCCTCTTTGAAGCTGCTGTGTGAACGCCAACTACCCATCTGCATCCTACTCTTTGCTCCTGGGACATTTGATATATTTGACCCCCCCGCCATCTTCTAGGAACAAGACCTCACACTCTCCGGGTCAGCCTCAGGGGACGTCCTACCTGCCTTTCTTGAGGACCTACGTTGGGAGACCTGCTATTGGCTCTGGGTCTTCTGACCTCTGGCTGGACGGCTTTAGCCAGCCCACTGTCCTCCAGAGACTTCCAGATCTCTCCTCCACCCTGAGCCTCTCCATCTGCAAACTTCAGCCGTGAGACTTGCACGTCTCTCACCTGTGTGATGTGAATGTGCGGCCAAGGCAAGCCCTCCTGTCTCCGCCTTCTTCTAAGAGTCTTCCCACCCTAAGCGTCTATCACAGGAAGTGTCCATCCACACAGGGGTAAGGCCCTGTGTCCAGCACGAGCTCTTTTTATCTCCCTCTGCCCTGGAGCCATCCCAGTCTTGGCTTCTTCAGCTTCTCCCTTGGCTCCTCCTCATTCTTCTACAGGCTCCCTCTATTGGCCACTTCGGGCTGTGTACTGGCGGCCAGAATGTTCTCTTTGAGGTACAAAATTCCATCGTCCTTCTCCTCTACGGAAAGGTCATCCCCTGGCTTCCCACCGAACACAGGTCAGGGCTTTCATCACCGCCTGAGATGGGTCCCTCCACCCACCGCTCCGGACTTCCCACACGCCACTGCCTTACTGACACCATTCCTCCAGTCCCCTTCCTGTCCTTCAAACACACGGTGCGGCCTCTTCCCTTGCCCCTAACCGTCAGCAGCCCTTGTACCTGTGATGCCCTCGTCCCTACAGCTAGCCAGACCACCTGGGATGATTCCCCCCCCCCTCCGTCTTCTTTGTCCTCTGCAGCCTTTGATACTGTCTTTGCATCTGGCACTTGGAAACCGCTGGGTTGGTTCAAGTGTCTCTTCGGCCCTCCGTTTAAAGGAAGACCCGAAGGGCCACTTCTCCAGCCGTGTCCCGTGTCCTCAGCCTAAGGGCTCGGGGTTTTCTCACTGGGTGAGCTCGGCCTATGAGACTTCCTTTCAAAGGGGTTGGGAAATGCCCCAGACCCCGGGTCGTTGAGAAAGGGAAAAAAGGAAGAGGAAGGAAAATAGCTCTGATGCGGAGTCCATGCCTTACCGAGGTGAGACTCTGCAGTGTGGCGGCGTTGAATGTGGCTTTGTAGGAAAGCCTGGTTCATAAAGGCCTTGTCACAGAAATGGCACTGCAAAAGAGAGTGACAAATTTAAGCGTTTACAGCGAATTTCCCCCATCGGCTTGCAGTAAAAACCAGGTATCTGAAGCATGGTCTCTTGGCAGATTTCTTCCTAAAAGATACAGATGCTCGCCAGTGATATAACTCAAAGGGAAAACGTAAGGTAAGAATGCTTCTCCCAGACTAGAACAAATAAATATGTCTTTTGACATAATTTCTGGAATGTTTTTACTACATCAGTTTATATTATTTTTCTACCGATTTGTTCATGGCAGGAAGAGAGACTGCACCAGAAACCAGCCCTGCTAATAACTTGACATAGGATCCTAGCTTCCAAATATTGTGAGAATAAATGTACATTACTAAAGCCATCCAGTTGATGTTATTTGTTATGGTGGACCTAGTAGCTAACATAGGTACATACATACGCGTGTATGTGTTTGTGTATGGAGTGTTTTAGAGTTAAAAATGCTCTCCTATGAATATGCATGCTCATAAAAATCTTCCAAAGACATACTGTATACAACAAACAGAGGAGAACACAAGGAGACAAATACTTCGTCTGAAACGGATGGAGGGAAACTATTGGGAAGAAAAGGCAGGGTATGACCTCCGGGAGTTGGTCATACTCCGGGGACTGTCCCCACACCAAAGAGTACGTGCCAGCACTAACTGAACTCCGTTGCTTTGCTGTGTTTCAGGGGACATCGAGTTGGGCGGGGGTAGATCTGGCAGGAGCTGGGGGAGGTGAATATGATTAAAAAAAAACAATGCTATGAAATTCTCAAAGTTAATAAAGCGTTATGTAAAAATAATTGGAAATATAACTTTTTTTTTCAAATCTTAAACTTCCCCCAAAACAGAGGATGGAAATACAGGCAAACCCAAGCAGCACACATTACGTTTTACAGGTGGGTGAATGTGTCAGTTACACTGTTCTATGGGTTCTTTCTATGCTCATTATTAGTTCATGGTTTGTGCTTACTGGTTTTTTTTTTCTTTTAAAATCTTCCAAATACGGATATTCAGAATAAGGTTGTTTTGATTTTTTTCTGTATATTATAAGTTTTACATAACAAAATATTGAGGGGAAAAGACAGTGGTGTATTGCCACTGTAACCCTTTTACACATTTTGGTTGCATACAATAAGTCACACCCACATTCTCAGTGGGGCGGGGGAAGGGAAAGTCTTCAAGAAACTTACATTCAACCTTACATGTTTCATTTTTACTGCACGGTTGCTGTGACCTCCTGAAGCAATAGGAACTGGAGACAAAGAGAAGTGACGAAGGAGCGAGACCAGGATTTCAAGGTGAACTTGATCCCATGGTTTGCCCGAGCGCGTCGCAGAGGGTCCAGGAGCTCCGGACCTCGTCTGCGGAGGTGGCAAAAATTAAACTGCGGGCAGCCGTGTGACTTTTCTCATCGTGGAGCAAGTCGGCTCCGGCGTTGTTTCTGTCTGCCACACGGCTTCCCCACCTCACTCTCGGGGTGTTTGGCTAAAACAACAACGAACCCTATGTGAAGCGTGGCCCCCCTTAACGACGGCGAGGACCTAGAGACAGTGACCGTCCCATTTCACAGAGCGCACACAAGGGCTGAGCGGTCTGTTAAGGTCTGGCGGTTGAGACACTGCGCCACTGTGATTGGTCTACTGGAAAGCTAAGTGGCCAATCGCAAGGCAGGACGTGTAGGCGGGACTTCTGGTCAGAGAGCGCTCTGGGAAGAAGGAAGGAGGAGGTGCCAGTCAGCCAGCGAGGAAGCAGGATGCAGAGCACAGGTAACCGAGCCACGTAAAAGAGCGTACGTTAAAGAGTATGCGTTAATTTCAGCCAGAAGAGCACGTTTAAAGAGTATGCGTTACTTCCAGCCAGAGGAGCTAGCGGGACAAGCCTGAGCTGTAGGGCAAGCTTTCTTAATTGATAGTACGTCTCCATCTTCTGCGAGCTGGTGGCCCGGAGAACAATCCGCTTGGGATTTGAACCCACCCAGTCCCTAGAAAGCTTCCCCGTGACTGTTCTCCGCGGAAGCAGAAGCAGGGGACCTGACTCTGCAGCGCATGACCAGGGTTCAGCCTGCCAGTCGGGCCAGAAGAGGGGGGCCGCAGGGTGGAATACGCCCACCAGTAGAGACGTGATCCCCACACGCCTGCTTTCGTCCAAGTCCTGCAAGCACCCTTCTCGGTCATGGAACTTCTGTGCGCGCACACAGACCCTCGTCAGATTTGTCTGAGACTGAAGGTATGGCAGAACGTGAGAGGATGAGGGTGGGGGGAGCAGGCGAAGGTGAGGAAGAGGCGGAGAGATATAGAGGGAAAACCTGGAGCCAAGCTTCCTTTTGAAGCCTGAGGACAGACAAGACTCATTTAACTCACATGGCCCAGCAGAACACCGATTCCGTTGACTCCTCCCCGAAACCGCCAGCCTCCAGCCTCCCAAAGGTGTGGCCACTCCCTAACAAGGGGAGTCCCTCACCCCTTACCTCTGGAACCAGAACCCCTGAGGCATCACAATTCTGGCAGGTGAGAGAAGGCCCCAAGCGTTTGTTAAATGGCATCTTCTCTATTTAAGAAAAAAGTGTGTGTGTGCGAGTGTGTGTGTGTGTGTGTGAGCTCGAGCACATGCACACATGCTAGAAAGGTGACTTAGTGGTCAAAAGCCGTGGCTGTTCTCACAGAGGACTCAAGTTTGATGCCCAGCACCCACGTGACAGCTCACAAACTGTCCGCAACTCCAGACGTGACTATGACCTGTGCAGGTACTGTATGCATGTGGGTTATGGGCACACATGCAGGCAAAGGACCCACTCACATAAGATCACAATGAACGAGTTCTTAGGAGTGTCTGTGCGCGCGCACATATTAGGAAACTTACAGGATAGTCCAGTTTCCATGTGACTTTTTCCAAGCACCCTCGGTGTTATCTCCTCCACCCCCCATTCTGCTTTGCCCTCCTATGTCCCTCCCCACCTACCCCTCCCTCCCTTATCACCAGGCCACGATACTACCTGTGTTCTACACCATGCTCCTCACATCCGTCTCCTCTCCTAATGGTCTCTCCCTCTGGCTTCCTGACTTCTACAGGTACTCCACGATAAACACACAAATCTAAAGATCCAAAGCATTTGAGAAAGGGTATGTGTTTGTTTGTTTTTTTCTGGGTCTGGATTACCAAAATTATAAATAAAAAATAACTATAACTGCAACTATTAAAACTATACTGACCAATTTACCTGCAGAGCTCACAGTTTCAGTGTTTTTCTCTTTACAGACACAGTAAAATTCCATTGTGCGTATATGGAACAGTATCGTCGCCCATTCCACAGCTAGTGTTTTTTCTAGTTATTCCACACAGAAAGAAGGATAATTCTCCTCCCAGAAACCTTGGGTTTTTAATCAAACGAAGGCCCTGGAAACAGGTGTGGGGATACCCTATAGAGTTGCTGCAGGGGGTCCCAGGAACCCCCAAAACAATACAGTATGTCACCAGTGCTCTTGGTTACCTACTGGGACATGACTGGTAAGGCCACACTTTGATTACAGGACTGGGTACTAATCTGGAAGTCCCTTCCCTGGTGGTTAGCTTCCACGGTGCCATAAGGCCCCATGAGGGAGAGGAAGTCATCAACAGTGTTACTCAGCTGTGAACCCTGCAAGTCATAACAGCCACCGGCCTGAAAAGATAATGCCACTTAGTGCAGTAGTGGCATGCGTGTCACTGGAGGAGCCAGCAGCTCGGGGAACACGGGCGAGAAAGCAGTGAGACTGCAAAAGCCAGGTAATCGGGAAGATTCCTTAGAAACGACGTCTTCTGGACAGGACGGGGCCGCTGTATTCATAAGCTCCCAGCAGCCATGGCTGCCAGCATAAGGCCAGCGCAAGGTCAAGCTGGTCAGCATCCCAGCTTGGAGAGAGAGCAGTGAGCACACTACTCTTGATGAGCTTACAGGCAAAGGGAGAGTCAGTTTTCCCCTGCGGTGTCCTCTGTCCGCGCTGCAGTAGAGGGGATACCAGCCCACAGGACAAAGCCCAAGGTTGGCTTTTTATGGCAATAGATTAATTTTAATAACTAATTAATTAATTAAAGCTCCCAACTGTACCCTAAAGTCAAATGACTGAACAGAATCAAGTCTCCTTCCCCTGACTTGTTCTGCTGACCAAACATAATCTGGAGTTTCAACAATTTTGCTGTGCACTCTGCTCCCCGCTGTAGTCTCTGAGCACCCGACTCGCCTCGCCCCGCCGCTGCAGCGTCCCCCACTGCAGCCTAGGGCGTCTTCGCCTCCACTACTCACTGAGCCAAAGTGGTCTAAGGGTTTTCCCACAGATGAAGCATAACTCATCACCGGAGAGCCACAAGGAAACCCGAACCTGGGTGTCCACTGAGCCCTCACACACACTGCCTGCTCTGTCTGCATCCCAACAGGCAGCCGCTACTAACGTCCCCACTTTCCAGGGGGGAAAGCGAGGCTAGAGATTGAATTACTGGTATTTATACCCAAACCTGTGCAGTCTGACTGAGAAACTGTCACCCTGAAGTCTTCGTAAACAATGGTGTTTGCCACTTTACAGAGGACAGAGCACCCGCACTCCTAAGTAGGAAAAGGTGATGCCTTCGTGTCCCACAGAGCCAGCATCCAGAGTCTGCCAAGAGCTAAGAGCCGAAAGGCGTCATTGGTTGAACAAAGTCCTTAACTTTGTATATTTCCACAGCATTCATATTTCATCTGCGAGGGAGCTTCCAGCCATGCCCCCTCCCCCCACTCATCATTCATATTTGAAACCATCACTAGTAATTATTTCTACGGTGACTGGAAGAATGAGAGATATAACCTTTTGGTAGGAGTATTAATATATCACTAGACTACTACCCAAACTAGAGAGCAACACACTTACTGCCAAAGTTGAAGAAGAAGTGATTCCATTCATTGTACAAAAAAAAAAAGGAATCTTAGCATTATTTGTAAGTGTGTCATTTTTAAACTGCATTTGTAAAACAGGCCGCTAAGGACATCAAGTGTCGTTTGGAGAGAGCAGCACCTCCAGGTGTTCTACCCAAGGCATTCCCTGGTCTTCCTCACCGCGTTCATTCTCAACTGCTCCCCAACCTGAAGGGCACGTCTTCCAGGATTTCTGTGGGATTTATTTGTCTTACCCACTGTGAATTGTATCACTTTTCTGCCTAGACCCCACATCCGCAACACCGAAGTCTGCTTCAGCTCCTGCATTCCGAAGACCACTTGAAGCCATTTAAAGAGTATCCCAAATGTGTAAGAAGTAAGTTATTTCGGTCAAAGCCCGAGTCGGTCCCTTCTCCCAATTCAGCACACACTGAGCCTCCCTAATCTGAAAGCCCCAAATCCAAAAGACTCCAAAGCGTAGACACCTCTCTACAAGTCTCAAATTCCACACCCAACTTCACGTGACAGGCCTCAGTCAAAACACAGGCAAACTAAAAAAAAAAAAAAAAATTACATAAAACCAACTCCGGGCCATCACTATAGGTTGTATTTGAAATATCAACCAGTTTTGTATTTAGACTTGGGTCTCATAGGCTGGAGAGCCTTTACTGTTCTCAGAGAGGACCCGGGTTGGAGTCCCAGCACCCACATCAGGTGGCTCACAAACCACCTGTAACTCCAGCTCCAAGAGCTCTGACGCTCTCTGGCCTCCTTGTGCACCCACACTTAGGTAGGCACACAGACACGGAAATACTTAGATTTGAGTCCCGGCCCCAAGACACCCCATTCGGTGAATGCAACCATTCCAAATTTCAAAACATTTCTGGTCCTAGGCATTCCGAAGCAAGAGACAGTCAACCTGCACATTGATCTCAAAGTTGCAATTATTTATCCTGGGTTCAGTGTCTAATTTGTAACAGAAGTTATATGATCAGATTCAAAAGGTGTTTAATTCTTTAAAGGCTAATGTTTCAGCATTCTTGTCCTTGGTAACTGCACACATTTAAACTTCAGGTGCCTGCAACTCACCGTGAGATTGTTTCTGTGTAGGAACAAAACAAGCCTAGAGGATTTTCAGAAGTGTGGCAAATGCAGGTAACAGGGATCTACTTTGACTCTTTGTCATTTGGAAGAAAACTTCAAGTTTTTAAAAAGGGTGGGGGAGCCGGGTGTTGGTGGCGCACGCCTTTAATCCCAGCACTCGGGAGGCAGAGGCAGGCGGATCTCTGTGAGTTCGAGGCCAGCCTGGTCTACAGAGCGAGTTCCAGGACAGCCTCCAAAGCCACAGAGAAACCTTGTCTCGAAAAAACCAAAAAAAAAGGGTGGGGGAGGGGGGACCCTCGCATACCGAATCATATTCCGGGTCGTCTGGGGGGCAACCTCAATAGCAATTTGCACACAACTGATTTTTTTTTCCCCACAACATCTATTGTAAGAAGGAAACAGGCTCAACAACCAACGTTTGGATAACTTCATAAGCCCTGCAGACAATAGCAGATACCTATAATTATCAAGCCCTTGGTGGCTGCAGAAAGTAATGGAACATTTTTTTTTCTCTGTGGATGAAAATGAGTATTCTTTGCCTTAATCTGTGTTCTCTGTGTACAAATCTCTGGGAAGAATGGGAAAGGTTGGGTCTCCTACAGTGAGCGGGCCCCGGGCCCCGTGTCCCCCACCTGGTAATAGCTGGCTTTGGCCTCAATCATCAGCTGCTGTGCGGATAGCATCTTCTTCCTGCGCTTACACTCGTCCTTGAGCAGTTTGATCTCGCCGGCCTGCTTGGCGAGCAGCTGCTTGCTCTGCTCATAGTCGATGAGGCTCAGGCGCAGCCTCTCCTCCACCAGGTTGAGCTGGGAGGTGAGGAACTCCTGGGAATGCATTAGGTATTCGATGGTGAGCTGCGCCAGGCGGATGAGCTTCAGCAGCACCGGGTCCACCCCGGACTGGCAGTGCGGGCACTTCTCGTCCTCCAGCTTGCAGAAGGTGATGTTCATGATGTTCTCCTGCAGCGTCAGGACATCCACAGCGCCGGCCACCTTGTCCACGTCGATGGCGCTCAGCCGCCTCCAGTCCACGCTCTCCAGTCGCGGCCGGAACTGGAAGAAGGGCAGGGGGCCCGAGGCCGCTCTGGGGGGGACAAAGGCCATGGGGGCCGCGCCTGCCGCAGAGGCGTCGGGCCCCTCGGGGCTGTTGGCCAGAGGGTAATAGACGTGCTTCTGGAAGGGCTGCGGAGGAAGAGAGAGCGCGGCGGGAGGAGGCGGGCAAGCTTACGAGCCGACCGTCCCAGCCAACCCCACCGTCCCCGCCCTGCATCCCGCACAGGTCCCTCCCTCCGGCCTCGCGCGTCTTACCATGCTTGCAAGCCAGTCCGCCCGCCTAGGCTTGCATTGGAGGGGCGGGGCGGTGGAGTCTACCTGGCCCGGGCCGCCTCGGGGCCGCCGCCGCCGCCGCCACACCCCTCGTGAGCTGGTGAAGGCCCAGACCCCCGCTGCTGCGGCGGCGGCCTAAGATCTGGGCGTCCAGGACGTTGCTATGGCAGCGCCCAGCCCCGACCTGGAGCACAGGGCGTGTCCGCCCACGCGCGTTCAGCATGCGCCCAGGGACCTGCGGAATCAGAAGGACAAGGGAAGACCTCTAGGACCAGCCGGAGACCCACACTCCTCATCCACCCGGAGCGGGCATCTCTTGGCGGCCACCCCCCCACACACACACATCCCCCTCCCGGGGCTCAAAGGACAGGTCCGGGAAAGCCGCCTAAACATGCGTGGGTTCACGACTCCAGAGTCTTGAGTCCTGGCCGTGGTCTTCTAACTGTCTACCCCTTTGCCAGCATTAGGTTTTGAGATTAGAAATGCACATTCGCCTTTATCTTTTCCACACATCTGGAACACGTGTAGCAACAGAAGTTATAAAGTTAACAGAGAGCATAACGGAGAAAATCTGGGGCAGGACGTTCTACGTGCTGACTACAGTGTTAATTATCTGGAGATATATACATACATACATAGATATATACATACATGTATACATATATACACACACACACACATTTGCCAATTTTAACGGAATTGTACGTCTAAAATTAAGAGTGTATTTTGTATTACGCCACAGCAGAGTTAAACTACCAGCCTCTAGCCTTTCTTTCAACATAACTTTTTAAATGCTCCACCTCTGTGGATTAACTTTGACATCTTGTCAAAATACAAACCAAACAGCAACTAGCCCAATATATGCAACAGTCTGTCATTCCGAAAGCATTTCTCAAGATGTTGAAGTGGGAAATGGATGGGAATTCCAACGGTCAGCGTTCTACCAAGGTAACTAACTGGACCACAGTATTTACCTTACAAATCTGTGTCGGTGCTGCATTCTTTAAAAAATCCTAGCAGTGACCTGCAGACCCCAGGCCTCTCATTGTGGGGGTCTTCTGGAGGCTGCCAGTGGTTACCTCGGAGATCAAGGAGCCGAGGAAAAGCCAGGCATTCCTCAATCCACCAGGGAGGCCCTGCTTGGACCAACCATCAGGAAATTTTTTTTCTTTCCTAACAACCAGATACGTGAACAGAAGAAAGGAAAAATACAATTCACAGTAACTAACTTGAAGTTAAGTTGCAGCCAACAGTTCTGAGCACTTTCCGAACAGTATAGGTAAATCCACAGGAAAGTGTCCGGGAAATAAAACGCACTTCATATAAGGCATGCATTCACAAAATTCCGGGGCTGGGCGGAAAAAAAAAAAAAAAAACAAACTGATTTTACTGCAACCTAGCATGAAAACCCTGAGCACACAGACAGTTTAAAAGATTGACCCTTCCATGTACATCGTTGACCCTGGTCCTCCGTTTCCCCATCTGTTGAAGCACTGGGCTACCGACCTGGCAGGTTTGTGGGTTCTGGGCTCCATCCACTGGGCTGGCGGGAACAGCAGAGGCGTGTTGCTCACCGCTGCGCTTCCAGTACCTAGTGCAAGCAAGAGGGGTGTGCTAGGGTTTAGAAAAGGAAGAAAGAAAGAAAAAGCAAAACAAACAACAACCCAAAACGGCCGAGAATCGGGTGCTTGGTTAAAGAGATCATGGCCCCAGGCCACATCCCTGGCATTTTCTCTGCCTTTGGCCTGCACACTTGTTCTTTTCCGAAAACCCGCTAAGCTGAACGCGGGGAGGCTCGCGCGCTCCCCCTGCACACCCAGCAGGGACGCGCAGGCCCGAGCTACAGTCTTGGCGGTCACCACAGGCGCTCAGGGCATCTGCGGTTAGCCATCCTTACCCCCTAGGTCAGATCTCGACCACAAGATGGCCGGAACAGGAAGGCAGGGGGCACACTTTCCTGTTCCCCCTGCTCCCCACCCCAGGCTAGGTTCCCAGCCTCGCGCGGCCGCGCCTCCTGGTCCTGGGATCACCGCACTGTGCGGGCGGACCCGATGAACCCGAAAAGACAAAGGTTTTCGGGAAGCCGAGTCCTAGAAAGCCAAGGATGGGTGAGGACCGCGGCGGATCTGCAGCGTTGCGGATCTCAGCGGGCAGAGGAGAGGAGGAGGCCCGACTTCGCCTGCACAGACGCGAGATGCTCTGTGTCCTAGAAGCCAGGCGGGCGCCTGGCGCATCCCAGACCTCGGCTCACCCCAGCTGCGCGCTCCTGGGCGAAAGCCGGGCGCTTCAAGCCACGGGGCGTCACCAACAGGGCCCCAGATGCCGGGATTGCTGCTGGCGCAGAGGCGGGGCAACCGAGCGGAGAGAGGCAGGCCGGCTCCTTCTTCCAGGGTGCAAGGCAAAGCGTGTCTTGTCTGGGCAAGTTGTGATGAGGCGGGTAAGCCGGGCGTCGCTTCTGGTTCTCCCAGGCTCCAGGCCGTGGGTGGCGAAGGCTGCCCCACCCCCCTCCCGCCCCTTCCCCTCCACGGTCTTCTGGTGGCTTCTCCTCTCCGCTACCCCGCTCGTCTGGCAGCTGGGCGGGACCGTCCGCGCCTAGACCGCAGCGCTAAAATGCGCTCCTCCAATCCCGCAGCTGCTGCGGACACGTGACGCGACGCCGGGCTCGGTTGCTAGCTCTGGGTGCTAGCCCCGGGAAGACTTTTCAAAAAGGAATCCAGACCCACTGCTACCTTCTAGTGATTCTGTGAGCTCGCTGCTTCCTCTGAAGGGCAGGTGAGAATTTTCTTCTGGGAAGAAGAAGATGAAAGAGAGAGAGACCTTCACGAGTCCAGTGCGGGATGTGCTCTAGAGCCAAGAAAAGTTGCGAATAGTCCTTAAACCTGAAGTTGGGACCGGCATGATCGTGCAGCGGGGAGAGGAGGGATCTCCGAATGCTCTCATAAGAACGCTGGGTTATAAAACTAACAAGATGACAGAGCGGAGGCTTTTAACACACTGGATAGAAGATACTATTATTTCTGAAACCGATCCTACGCGTGGACTTTCAGTTAAATTGAGATACAATAAACTAATCCAATTTGAGGACTTTGAAGCAGTTACAAATGTGGGAGGTATTAGCACAAAATAATGTGCTAGTTAGTTTTTAATCATTTTGACATTAACTATGGACACCTAGGAAGACGGAACGTCAGTTAAAGAATTGCCCCCATCTGGCTGGCCTGTAGGCATGTCTGGGGGAGCATTTTCTGTATTGCGGTTTGATAGTGAGGGTGGTTTCCATAGGGAAAACGGACCAGCCAAAGAAACACACTTTGGCCCTGCAACCAGAACCAAAGAAATGTACCCTGACCCTGAAACCAGGGCCAAAGAATGGAATCAGAGCCAGTGAAAGAAATACACCCTGTAGCCAGGCAGTGGTGGCGCACGCCTTTAATCCCAGCACTCGGGAGGCAGAGGCAGGCGGATCTCTGTGAGTTCGAGGCTGGGCTGGACCGATAGCCTCCAAAACAATACAGAGAAACCCTGTCTCGAAAAACCAAAAAAAAAAAAAAAAAGAAAGAAAGAAAGAAAGAAAGAAAGAAAGAAAGAAAGAAAAGAAAAAAGAAATACACCCTGGCCCTAAAACTAGAGCCAAAAGGCTAAAAAGGACCAGAGAAAGAAACACACTTTGGCCCTGAAACCAGAGCCAAATCTGACCCAACCCTGTGCAGAAAACTAACCAATCCCTGAGCAGGAGATCTAAACACAGGGATTGTAATCTGACCAATCTCCACCCTGGAAATCTCCGCCCCCCCTAAGAAACCCTATATAAACCCTGTGTCTGTTCAGCTTGAGACTGTTCTTGCTACCTGTCAGCCACTCTACTGGATTCTTCCCTCCGAATAAACCCATTTCACGAGCTTCGGGTGAAGACCTTATTTTGCAGTGGAGCAAAAGCTACCCTAGGCAGAGCAGCAATAGCAGAGCTGTAACACTTCTGCTGGGGAAACCTCCCCTGGTTAGGAGCAGAGCTGAACTGTAGCAACTTCCCTTGGGGAAACCTTCTCCTGCCAGAGCAAAACTGCTACACTGGGCAAACTTCCCCAGCTGGAAGACCCTCACCTGCCGGAAGAGAAACCTTTCCCTGAGGCAGGACTGTAAGCAGCTAAACTTACAGCGGCCTGTGGTAGTCCTTGACTCCCGAGCTCCAGGATCCCTTTCCAGCTGAGCTGTGTAAGTCAGTATTCTGTGACTCAGGAGTGCCAGAATACCTGTGCCAACCAATCAATCCAAACGCTTACAGTTTCACTCTTGGGCAGGTGAAATTTGGGTTGTATGAAAAAAAGGAGGAGGAGGAGGAAGAGGAAGAGGAGGAGGAGGAGGAGGAGGAGGAGGAGGAGGAGGAGGAGGAGGAAACTGAGCAAGCAGGAGGAGCAAACCAGTCAGTCAGCAGCTCTCCAGCGTGGTCTGTGCTTCTGCTTCTGGGTCCTCTCGGGGCTCCTTCCTTAACCTCCCCACCCGGGGTTCCCTTGACTGCAGATTTGGTCTAAGCCCTTTCCTTCCGAAGCTGCTTTTTGGTCAAGGCAATCGTCACAGCCACTAGAAAGTAACTTCATGTGGTATAACAGTTTCCCTGAGAATGAAAACCCTCCCCCCTGCAGGGAAACTGTTATGTAAGCATGAAAGTCAACCACTCGGAACAGCTACAGGAAGTTCCTGAAGCAGAAAAGTCAACCACTCAGAACAGCTACAGGAAGTTCCTGAAGCAGAAAAGTCAACCACTCAGAACAGCTACAGGAAGTTCCTGAAGCTGACCAGACCCATGAGGCTCCTCCCTGCCAGAGAAAGCAACAAAGAGAGCGATCTCTCAGACTAAGTAAAGCTGAGCTGCATGCAACTGAGAGCAGGCCCGGAGCCTGGGAGAAGCAGGAACCAGCAGAGCTTCCTGGAGGGGTTTACAACAGTCACGTGGAAAGCACTCTCCAGCCTGCTGAGCTGCCTGCGGGCTGTGCAGTGTGCTCCAGTGTCCCAGCTTTGTGAGCTGTCACCCTGCAAGGGGTGTGTGGGCCTTGGTGATGCAGCTCCCAGAGACATTTCTGCTCCTGTGAGTAACCCCTCCCCATATTCCTGTGAGTGACCCCTCCCCCATATTCCTGAAGCAACCCCTCCCCCATGTTCCTGTAAGCAACCCCAGTAAAATTCCTTTACCAGGTTGAATTTTTGTGGTATCCATACTTTTTTGTCTGTTGTGAGATTCCGATCTGGAGTAAGCAGACTCATGTTGCACCTCTTCAGGGAAAGTTTTGTTGTATGATGCTGGGACATCTATCAAAATTATTTTTAAATGAATTGTCTAAATAAACATACTAAAGGAGAATTTCAAAGTGGATAACTGATACACAAAAGAAATATACTTTATATGCTATCTATAAGAAATCCACTTCAGCTAGGCATGGTGGTGCACTTTTTTAATCCTGGCACTCAGGATACAGAGGCAGGAGGATCTATGTGAGTTCAAGACCAGCCTAATCTACATGCATTCTACTGCATTGGTTTTGCTTATCATTCTTAGGAACTGAGTGTTCTTTTTTTTAAATATTTTATTTATTTATTATGTATACAACCCAGAAGAGGGCACCAGATCTCATTACAGATGGTTGTGAGTCACCATGTGGTTGATGGGAATTGAACTCAGGACCTCTGGATGAGCAGCCAGTGCTCTTAACCTCTGGGCCATCTCTCCAGTCCAGGAAATGAGTGTTCTTAAGTGACAGAACAGCACACATTATTCAACTACAATAGGTTTTCTTAGCATTAGCTAGTGAGTAAGAAGTGTTTAAAATGACTTTGGAGTTTTGAACTCAGCACTCAAGTAAACTTTAGAGAGTGATTCTCAACCTTATTCACCCTTTAATACAGTTACTCGAGTTGTGGTGACCTCCAACCATAAAATTATTTTGTTACTTCATAACTGCAATTTTGCTATTGTACGAATTGTAATGTAAACCTCTGTGCTTTCCCATGGTCTTAGGTGACTCTTCTGAAAGGGTCACTTGACACCCCCCAAGGGGGTCACGACCCACCGGTTAAGAAGCATTGTCATAGTGAGTTCCAGGATAGTCTGGGCTGCATAGTGAGACTCTTGCTCAAAAAGCAAACAGACAGACAAAGGCGAAGGTGCTCTTTAAATGTGAAGATTATGTAGATTAAATGTGACAGTATAGTCGGTTGTCCTTGGTTGGGGGTAGGGCCACTTTGAGGTGGAGTCTCCCCTGTGCCAGGCTGACCTCAAACTCACCGGCATGGCCACCATCCCGTTTATGCGGTGCTGGGTATTGAAGCCGAAGCACTCCACCAACTGGGCCATTTCCATTGCCCAAGAGTTAGGATGCTTGAGAGAAGTCACAACGAGGCAGGTGATACCAAACGGGTTTTTGCAGGAGCCTATGCTCTAACTCAGTGCATGGGGAAGGCTTCATAGACAGGTGGCCAGAGAATATGGCGGACGGTGGCCTGGCTGCTGCTCCTGGGTGGTCATGTGTGGATGCTGCCTGCCGCTCAGATGTCTGTTTTCTGACTGCAGCTGTGTCTGTGTCGGACAATGACAGCAGGTCCTGGCTCTCCGTGCTAGGTTTGCAAAGGATGGTGAGCGTCACTGGACCCCAGAAAGGTGAAATGGCCTTCAAATTTGGCCACTTTGCACATGTGGGTTTGCATGAAAGTCACAAATTAGGAGGAAGTTAGTGGTTGTCTAGCGAGTGTAACCCACTAATGCGGTGACATCGGGGAAGACATCCCTGTGACCCAACTGGACCTCCCTACTCCCTCTCGTGGGGCTGGGGCTTACATCGTGGGGGATGTTGTTTCAAAGTTTAAAAAACCATTGAGAGAGAGAGAGAGAGAGAGAGAGTGAGCATACAGTTGTGTTCACGTATGTGTGATGTGTGAATGAGTATGGGCAATTGTGTTTGTGTGTGTGATGGGTGTCTGAATGAAGGCAAGTATGTGCCAGTCAGAGGACAACTTTAAGAATTTGTTTCCTCCTCTGCCATGGGTGGGTCCCCAGGGTTGGACCTGCCGGGCTTTGCCCAGGAAGCGTCTTGTCATGCAGAACCATCCCCCTGGCATCATGGGGGTCTTTTTTTGTTTTGTTTTGTTTTGTTTTTCGAGACAGGGTTTCTCTGTGGCTTTGCAGGCTGTCCTGGAACTCGCTTTGTAGACCAGGATGGCCTCGAACTCACAGAGATCCGCCTGCCTCTGCCTCCCCATGGAGGTCATTTTAAATTTTAAAATTTTATTTCTATGTCTGCGTTCGTATGCATGCCACGTGTGTTCAGGTGCCTGCAGGGGTTAGAAAGGGGGGGGGGAGGCAGAGGGTCTGCCTGAGCTGGATTTACAAGCAGTTGTGAGTTGTACAACGTGGGTGCGGAGAACTGAACTCAGTTCCTCTGGAAGCAAATGTTAGCCAGTGAGCCGTCTTTCCTAGCTCCAAGACATATTTCTTTAAGAATATAAATT